TAGTAGTGACCTTTTTCCCACAAAAGAAAATGAAATTCTTAAATCAGTTGTGGATGCTTGGACCAGATTCTCAGTTCCGACAATCACAAAAAAAGGAAAAAAAAAAGGAGCTCAATGCATGACATCTCCAGGGGAAAAGTACAGAAGTGTTGGTTGGTGGCTCAAAACAGTAGAGTGGATACTTGGAGCAAATTTAGCCAAGAAAACTCATTATCTAGGTAGTAGAATCATGTGGACATCCATGCTTACGTGATTATTCTTTCGCACAAACCTTAACTTCATATTTGATGCGTGGAAATGTGCAGTACTGTATAAACTATACCTCCTTCCGTCTAAAAAAAATCAAACCCAGGGTTTGTGCGTCCAGATACAAACCTTGGGTTTGAATTTTTTTCCGGGGAAAGAATTTTTTTTTTCAGAATGAAGATATAGTACTAGTACTAGATCGGTAAGCAATTTTAGATGTATAATACACCTAGATCATATTTTTTTTTAAGATAGAGAGGGTAACCTTTGCGTTTCTATTAAGAGAAATGAACTTCAGCTACAACCGGATAGAAAGAAAAAGAAAGACTTGGTGCATCATTTTTGCTTTTCCTGTGATGAAAAAAGAAAGATCTTAGTACGTACTATATATATCACACTGCAAAAAGAGCACTAATAGATCAACATATTTTGCACGTTGTTACTAAACCAATCCAGTGAGTAATCAGTACAAAATACATGTAATTAATCGGCAACTCGGCATGCAGTGTACTAGTAGTGTAATAATGGAGCTAGATAGATGGGGATGAATTTTCTAATAGCTCGAGTGGACGTCCACCCGTTTATTGCATGTCAACTAAATGGCTACGAAAATTTTTTAAAAAAATTAACAAGATAGATCAATATGTAATATATCACTCCACAAACATGCAAGTTAAAATTCAACTTCTACAAGTTGTAACAAAAATAACAAATTTAACTGTAAATATACATATAGTAATTTGAGTTTTGTTTGTTATTTTTGTTACAATCTGTAGAAGTTGAATTTTAACTTGCATGTTAAATATACATATTGATCTATCTTATTCATATTTTTTCAATTTTTTTTATAACCATTTAGATGACATGCAATAAACGGGTGGACATCCACTCGAGCTATTAAAATAGTTTCCCCTGGGTAGAGTGTAAAAATGGAGGTAGGTCGATCGCTTACACGCTCAGATTCGTTATGGATGGCAGCGGCTCGGCTCCTCTTGGTAGAAATAGACGATCTCATCGCCCCTTCCCCTCTGATCACGACGTGCTCATCCTCGTCGCACATGCCACCTCTCTTTTAATTTTTCAATGCAAACTCTTTCAGCGAATTATTGATAAATACAAACGCAAGCAAACGAAATCTGCGCTCTGAATACGAGAGTGAAGATGAGAAGCTAGCTATGGTACTCGACGTGCATGAAAAAGCTAGCTACTATCTGTGCTTGCCTGCGATTGCGAGCGACGGCTGAAGCAACGCGAGTCGCTGGCGCCGCCGGCGATGCTGGTGTTCTCCGTCTCCGGCGAGCCCTTGTCCTCCGTCCTGTCCTCCAGCGAGGTGGAGTTGTTGGTCGTCGTCGTGAACCCGCACACGTCGTCGGCCGCGGTGCCGCAGCAGGCGTCGAGCGTGAGCAGCGTGCTCTCGCCGCGGCGCCCCGGCGCGGCGCTCCCCTGGCTGGCGCACGCGCGCCGCCCGTCCTCGCCGACCACCTCCCGCGGCCGCTTGCTCCGCCCCTCCGCCGCGTCGGCGTCGCACGGCACCAGCGCGTCGGCCGCCGCCACCACCCCGACGCTGCCGAGCCATGGCGCGGGCACGGGACGCGCGCGCGCCGCGAGGTGCGACGACGACGACGACCGCGCGGCCGCCTCGCCCACCACCGCCTCCAGCGTCTCGCGGTCCCCGACCACGCCGCCACCTCCTCCCCCTCCCATGGCAGCCTGCAGCTGCTGATGCGGCGGGAACTTGGGCGGCGCGGGGCGGTTGAGCAGCAGGCCATGCGAGGAGATGTTGCCCTTCTCCCACGTCAGCTCCGCCACCTCGTTGTACTGGTCCGACGTCGGCACCGCCACTGGCATGAACCCTCCCCCGCCTCCCGACACGACGCGGTGCCCGCCGCCGCCGCCGCCGCCAATCCCGCCGCCACCCACCGGGTCGTCCAGATCCCAGCTCGGCACGCACTGGTTCATGATCGATCAACGGAGTGAGCGAGTGAATGGCTGGTACGCGGCCGCGCGCGTGTATGGATACTTATGCTGCTGCAGCGATGGATGGAGTGGTGGATGAGACGCACGCAAGTAACTGTACAGCGTGTAGAGGAGCCATGCCGCCTCGGTGTAGGCGAGGGCGAGGGGCGAGAGCAATAGGATGGATGGATTCATGGGACGGTGAGACGATGTGTGAGGGGGAGACGCGCACGTAGCCGCCTCGGCTTCCACATGACCACGTACCGCGCTCGCTGTTTACGTGACCGCGACCGCGACCGCGAGAGGGCCGGACGGTTGTCGGAGCCGTCGGATGGGCGTCGGGCGGTGGAGCGGGAGGCGACAGATTCTTCCCCCTCCCCGTGTTGTTGCTCTTCTTGTCTCTGTTTGAACTTTCTGCGTGAGTGGGCGGGCAGAGCAGCTCTCGCTCGCAGCTCGCTGCCTGCCTGCTTCAGTTCCCGGGGGAGTGCACCGACAGGCGACGGCTAACGTGAGAGTGAGACAGATCAGAGTACAAGAATACCAGATGGGATGTACATTTATGTGAGTGGATTCTAAACTCTCGAGCGAGATATCCTCTTGTTATGTACTCCTCCGTTTCTAAATATTTGACGCCGTTGACTTTTTTAAATATGTTTGATCATTCGTCTTATTCAAAAAATTTAAGTAATTATTAATTTTTTTTCTATCATTTGATTCATTGTTAGATATACTTATATGTATACATATAGTTTTACATATTTCATAAAATTTTTTGAATAAGATGAACGGATAAACATGTGCTAAAAATCAACAATGTCAAATATTTAGAAACGGAGGGAGTACACGTCATTCAAATGGTTATAAAAGATATGAAAAAAATTAACAAGATATAGTAATACGTGACAAACCACTCCACAAATGTGCAAGTTAAAATTTATTTTTTATAAGATAAAAAACAGATTAATCTATGCCTCGTTAATATATATTCACAATCAAATTTATTTCTTTCGTTGTAACATGTAGAAGTTAAATTTAATCTTATATGTTTGTGAAGTGATTTATTTGATTAATTTTTCATAACTATTTAGATTACATGTAAATAACGAGGGAATATCCCTCGAGAATTTAGAATTGTTTCTAGTACATTTATCCCTGTGATCATTTTGGAACATGAGCTAATTAGTGGTACATGTGTATACATATCGGCGGGGTTTATTTGGTAAAACTTTATAACTCTTAAATTTAACTTTATGAGCGTAGTTTTAAGTGAAATGTGAAGCGGTCTAAACCATACTCCACTTCTCTAGTGTATTATTTCCTCACTACTTCAATCCGCTCAATTTGCTTTTTTTTTATGAAGCTGAAATCAGCTTAAGTTCTAGACTTTAAGCCTGTGTTCGGGAGGGAACCCTCCCTCCCCGGCACGCAAAATAAAGCAGCATTTAGCGCGTGATTAATTAAACTTTAGCTATTTTTTTTACTAAAATGGATTAATATGATTTTTTAAGCAATTTTTGTATAGAAACTTTTTTTTTTAAAAAAAGACACACAGTTCAGCAGTTTGAAAAGTGTGCGCGTGTAAAACGAGGAGAGGGAGTTGGTAACTGCTGGGAACGAACGCAGCCTAAGAGTGGAGCTGAAGCAAGAGACCATCTATCATATGATACAGCACGTACTTAGCACTTAGCAGGGTTTACATTACCGTCGGTAACCGCGCCGGTACGGTAAATAGAAAAACCACGGTAACCTTCTCAAATTCAAATAAATTTAAAAAATAATATACATTTTTGATAAATTTTATACAGTTACGTACGGTTTTTCACGGTCACCGCGCGGTAACCCCGGCTTCAACGGTTTGGGAAAACCTTACACTTAGCAGGAGAAGGAAATGGTTTTGTACGCCCATCGTCCTCTCCCTTTTGTTAGAACACTTGCATTTTTTTTCTTTTCCTTGCACAGAGAAATTGTTAGATTCGAATGCGTCCAATATATAAGCGACATAGGCATTCTCCTCTCCTCGTTAGTTATTGGCGCGGGATGGATTACAGCAATTACCAAAATTAAGACACTGCACCTTTGCCCCTCGTGGCCTCGTCGTTAGTTGTGGATGCTAGCTGCTTAATTTCTGTCTTTGCGTCATAAGGCCGACGCAAATCAACGATCAGCTGTTGATGAGCTAGTATATCGGTCATCTCAATCGCATCGAGAAATCACAGTCGTTCAAGAGTGGTGTTTAGTTCCCTAAAAAACTTGAAAGTTTTGAAAAAGTTAAAAGTTTAAAAAAAATTAGAAGTTTATGTGTGTAGAAAAGTTTTAGATGTGATGTGATGTGATAAAAAGTTAAAAGTTTGAAGTAGTTAGAAGTGAACTAAACACGATCCATCCAGATAGAAAAAGAAGCCCTTTTTTTTCCCGATGGCCCGAATACATCACGAACTGTCCTTGACGGCTTGACCAGCTTGGTTCAGTGAACAACTGTCAAAGAAGATAAGAACCTTACGCAACTGGTAATTTAGGATTGGAAATTTCTTGAACCACTTGCAAGTCAGATTATTTCTCCTTACCGCAGGAATTTGGAATTTGTTTACCACACCTCTTCGAAGAACTGTATAGGAAGGAGTCTACGGGGCGTTTGAATCACATGCAGAGAGCAATGTAACCAACCAAGGGACCGAGAACGGAGATATGTAAGAGAAGAATGAAAGGGTTGCAATCTGAGTTCGGATGGGGGAGATTGGAATCTAACACCTACTCACAGAAAACGGAGCGGTACATTAACACGTGATTAATTAAGTATTAGCTATTTTTTTAAAAAAAATAGATTAATTTGATTTTCTAAACAACTTTCGTATAAAAACTTTTTACAAAAAACGCACCGTTTAACCGTTTGAAAAGCATGCGCGTGGAAAACGAGGGAGAGAGGATGGGAAAAGGTGCATGCGAACACAGCCGAATAATTGACGGAGGACAGAGATATAATTGTGTTTTGGGGAGAATTGACGGAGAGAAATGGAATGGTGTTAATTTTGGGGAGAAGAGAGCGACCTCCAATTTTCATATAATCGATGAAATTATACAAGAAGTGAGAACTTGGAGCACGGGTGGAGCAAAGCGCCAAATAGCGTATCACAACATTATTAGGATAAGTTTTTCGTAAGCGCTGAGTGCTGTGTGATTTAGCCGCGTTTCCCTGTACATAACAATGATTTTTCGTTGTTTTTCTCATTCTCTCTCCCCTATCCATAATATAATTAACGTCGGCAATGGCTGACTTTTCGTTCAAAAATGATAGCATCAACCTGATGAAACCACTGAAAACGGCACGCGAGAAGCAACATCGCTGCATGTATTATATCATTGCTGACGCTGGAGATATTAAGCTCCATTGCGAGGCCAAGATTTTGCAGGCCAAAGGACCACACATCACACAGTTCACACATGCATGCAAACACATGGACAACTTCTAACTTTCTGTCGAGAAAATTACCTGCCCAAACCAAAAAGATGTCATCGCGCTGTGCGCTACCCAGCTGTATGGACCACGACGTCCGTTTTTATGCATTGATGAGTTTGGGGTGAATCCAAGCTGGTCGATCTGATATGATCTGATCTAGTTATCCATCGATATGATCCATCCTGGACCATGCCACAAACTAGAAATCTATCGATCGATGCTGCCATGTCGGGGCCATTGCCGTCGTCTGTCATTTTCATAGCTTTTGTTCTCTGTTCAAATGCGGGTAGTGCTCGATCTCTCAGATTAGATCGATCAATATGATATATACCTCTGCATGATGATTAAATACATGTGCATGTAAGATTCTATTAGCTAATCTCTCGCGCATGTAAAACGAAACGATTCATTAGTGCATGATTAATTAAGTATTAGTTAATTATTTTGAAAAATAATTAATATGAGTTTTCAAAGCAACTTTTCTATACAAATATTGTGTAAAATACACACCGTTTAATGGTTGGAGAAACGTAAACGTGGAAAACAATAAGGTAGAGGTTAAAAATGTTGAGTGAAGAACACAGCCTTAGTGTTTTAAAAGAGCACTTCGTTTGTGCGTACGCATTGTTGTTTTATCTCGGGCACAAATAACTTGCATGTACTAGTGAGGGGGTTCTAATCTTTCGAGATGATGTCCCCTCCTGTATTTTTTTCTTCAAATTCAATTTAAGTGGTTGTGAGAAAGTTTGTTTTTTGAAAAATGTAAAGTACAATGACATCTATCATTCCACAAAAAATATATGCTAGGGAAAAAAAGAAATTTAAGAATAAATAGTACTATACAGTTTATAGGTTGGATTTGTTTTTTCTATTTCTCCGTATGTGAGTTGAGTTTGGTTTAGGTTGGTGGAGTGATATATGTATGCTGTATGAATATTGTCAATATTTTATGGATTTTCTCGCACTCCCTCCGGATTGATAATACTTGTCGTTTTAGACTAGGGCACGGTCTTAAAAAAACAACTTTGACCATTATTTTTTATTATAATATGTATAAAATTGTTAGCAAATATATGATCTTATTAAAGTACTTTTTAAGACTAATCTATATATGTAGTCACCATATTTGAAAGACAAATATTTTAAAAATAATTCATAATCAAAGATTCTAAAGTTTGACTTCACCCTTGTCCAAAACGACAAGTATTATCAGCCCGGAGGGAGTAGCTATTTAAGTGGTGTTTGAATAAACGAGGGAAAAAAAAGAGTTTACAACTGTTACCTATTGTACTGCTATAGCGTTTGATGATTCGTGTATCCACAGTGAGTGTTTTGTTATGGAGTGCCCAAACGCTTCCTTCCCTCTGGGTCCATCCCCACCTCACATCGCGATCGGACGGTGATGGGCCTGTCCGTACGTGTCGCTCCTCCATTCGTAATTACTAACAAGGGGACTTCCATGTGTTAAAATAAAAAACGGGATTGCTATATGGCATTCGAATGAAATTTGGGATGAAATCTTACATATTTTAGACCATTGGATCCATGCCAAGATTCGTGCATCGGCTTCTCTCCTCCAACTCCGGCGGGCTCCCCTTCTTCTCTGGCGCCGGCGACACCCCAACTCCGGCGGGTTAGGGTTTGGGGTTGGGGTAAGGATAGGAGGGGGGTTGGGGAAGGGGGAAGAGGGGTGTTTCCTCGGGTCTTAGAGGGATGGCCGTGGGCGGTGGACTTTGGCGGGCGGCGGGGGTAAAGCAAGCGTGGGATTAGGAGGTGGCGGCCGGTGGTGGCGGATCCGGCGGCGGGGAGCCGACGGAGACAGGGAAGACGGCGGGGCGGGGGCACCTCGTCGTCGCCGCCATGAGGAGAAAGTGAGGGGGGAAGGGGAGGGGGCTCGCCGGGGGGCCTCGCCGGCGCCGTTGACCTTTTCCAGCCAGCCGGCGAGGCGGGCGGCGGCGCGGTGGCGGTGGTGGCGGCGGATCACGCGTGGGACGGGAGGAGAAGGGTGGCGGCGCGATCTGGAACCGGGGAGAGGAGGAGAGGAGTTAGGTTAAATGGTCAGCACGAATCTTGAAGCACATCTAATGATCCAAAATTCAAATTATAGGAGGTGGGATTTTCTGTCACATGATATATATATATAGATAGCCCCAAAAAAATTGGAAATATGACGCTGCACGGTGGGCCCACCGGGACAGAGAGACGGCCCGACTCATCACCGAAGTGCCAGGCGGCTGGGCCTAGCTGTCAGTGACACGTCAGAGCGCCGGCGTAGGGGAAGGCTACCCCACCCGACCACGACTTCCACCGTCTTCTTCCTCCACGTTCCTATCCATGGCGCCAGTTCATCTCGTGACGTCTCCCGCTCCCGCTCGCGTTGCTCCCAAAACCCTAGCGGCTAGAGCCGTTGCTGCCCGATCGCGCAGCGAGATCGATCGGGCGGAGGCGCCGCGCCACGCCGCGGCCACCGGCAACCGGTAGTACAAGGAAGGATGGATGAGAGCGGCTGCGGCGGCGGCGGCGACGACGGCGAGTGCATCACATCTCTCCCGTCCGAACCCTAGCCGTATGCGGAGGAGGAGCCGCCACGCGGCGCCATCGGATTCGCTGCGTCCGCTCCCACCATTGCGCGAGTCGCACACCGGCCGGCCTGGTTCCTCTCGCTCGCCGAAACCCTAGCAGACGAGGCGAGCGGGGATGTTACGAGGCTACGCCATGGCGGCTGCGGGCTTTTTGGTGGCGGAGGCGAGCACCTCGAGCGCTTCGGTTGTCAAGGTAAGGGTATTCCTCAGGTGGAGTCGTGGTCCGTGGACCTTGAGGGGTTTGGGGAATTTGTCTTCCTAGTGTTTTTTGTTACGAGGGTAATCCGTGATTTTGGTTATTCGACTCGGAATTTCACTGGTTCTGATGCGATATGCTTGATCACTCAGTTGAATTATGGGGAATCTGCTCTGGTTTTGATGAAATCTGCATGGCAATAAGGCGATTTTGGAGATTGCGTCGGTTAATTGGGTCATGCTGTTGGATTCCCAGGAGGTTGATATCAGGCCACCTGAATGTCACGAAGCTTCTAGAGCGAGATAGAAGTTCGGGGAACCATGGCTTGGATGGAGCCACCACAACTTCACAGCTACCGTCCAGGTTGCCTGCTACAGCGATACTCACCTTGCGGTGGTAAGGACTCATGGAAACTTTGTCGCAGTTAATTTTAATTGCACTCATTTTCTTAATGTGTCATTGTAATCATGCAATCGTATTGTTCTGGTCTGTCTGTGTATGGGCATATCACTTTCTTTATGACATCTCTAATTTTGTGTCGGCAAGGATTTGATATATCGTTATCTACCCGTGGAAAAACTATATTGTGATATGTTCAACGGTTCTGCTACTCTTTTGGGTCCATTCGTGATAACTGAGGGGATCTCTTTGTACCATGGGTCGTACATAGGTTGCATGAATGTCTCCTTTGTTTAGTTACTTTTCAGATTATTTGCTCCATGCTTTTAAATTACTGTTTCCTCAAAGCACTTGTTCTACCACAATGTTAGACCACTTGCTTTAAACATTCTGTTAAGCTTATTTATTAAATTATTTAATAATTTATTCCTATGATCAAGTAGATAATATGTTCAATAATCTAAATCAAACAGGGCCTTAGATAGTACACTTAGCCTCTTAGGTACCTGGCACTTGGTTTTTATTGTGATAAAAACACTTCCAGATTACTTAAGAACTTGTCTTAGCCACTGCTTCATGCACATCGATGGTTCTCCATTACATGATATTGTTTGGAGCTATTATATTGAGAAATTGAAATGTGCAATTGTAATTTGTGGGGTAAGCTGTGTTTTTGGGTTGTTGAACGTGTACTTTCTCAGATTTTGATAGAATATTCTTGATTGTGAAGTTGAATATTCGGATTTTCCCTCATTTTGATGAATTCAGCATGATTATAAGGTGATTTTGGATATTGGCTTGGTTAATTGGTTCATGTGGATTTTAGGAGGTTGATGGCTGCCTTAATGGCAACAAAGCTAGAGTGAGCTAACAATTCAGGGATCCATGGCGCTATCCAGCTGCTAGAGATGATTTGTCTCAAATTGGTGTATCCAGTGAATGGATATCAGGAACTGGCCACCACAACGTCCCCACTTTCCAAGTTGCCTGCTACACTGTTGCTCACGCTACGTTGGTACGGGTTTATCGATACTTTCTCGTAGTTAATTTTAATAGTGGTCATTTTTCCATGTATGTTTCCATGTGTTTGTGTAATCATGCAATTGAATTTGGTTAGATATGTCTGTGTATGGGTATATCACATTCTTTGTGTGATTATCTTTAATTTTGTGTTCGCCATGGATTTGAAATGTCATGATCTATCCTAGGATTCTGCTACTCTTTTGGGTCAATTCATGATAAATAGGGGGGGCTGTCTTTACCGTGGGATATTCATAGGGTGCATGAGTCCCACTCCTACCTTTGGTTATTACTTAGATAGTAGATTTAGGCTGATCAATCTGGCACTTGGTTTAATATTGTGGTAAAACACATCCAGATTTCCTATGTCTAGAAAAGTGTCTGGGTCCATTACATGATACACACATAACGTGATATCGTTAGAGCTTTTATTATTGAGGGATGCAAATATGCAATTGATGGGGGCTGGGCTTTCATGCAAAGCTGCTTGGCTTGGAATTTTGGTCAGGCATCATTGTACTAAATGAATTAGAACTTGCAGACAACATTTGAGCTCTAGCGTGGATCATCCTGATTGTGTCTAAATGTACATTGCCTGCTGTAAAAGGTGTGCAACTATGCACCATAGTTTTGATCATATTCTAATGGGAAGTATTTGAGCTTGTTAAACATTATTATTTCCTTGTTGGCCATTAGTGAGTGAAGTTATGCAATTGTAAACAGATACATAAATTGTAACCAAATTATAAGTGGATTTATTTACTTGCCATGATTGTTTATCCTGATGTGTTTCACATCTAGTTGTAGTTGGCATTTTCAAACGGCAGGGTTTAAGGGGTTATTTAGGCATTTACAAACTTTCCATTTCTCCTATGTATATTTTCGACATTCTCAGTTATAGTTGGACTAATTCAAGTGTCAGTTCTACGATTAATTCCTAAATTATTTTCGGCCTTTTCCAAATTTATATAAAGTACTGTTGTAAAAGCTTAGTTCATCTATGATAATCACAGTTTATATTCCATCATGCAACACCCCCCCCCCCCCCTCATTTATAATCAGCACCATGGAAATGTAGGTTATTTCTGATTATTTTTTATACTTAGTAAATCTATGGTGATTAGAAAGCATGTACATAATCACCATGTACTTACGGTAGTGCCTGAACTGTTTGGGTTTCTGGTTAGTGTAACATATATTTTGGATTTTTGGTTGGTATTATATTAATCGAATGTAAGCAAATTGAACTTTAACCTTTTGTTACCTTTATTTATTGCCTTTAGGTTTTGAAGGACTCTGTTGCTGGTTTGGAACTATGCTTGGGAATTTTGCTGCTGCGTGTTACAAGTAATATAAGCAATTTTATTTTGTCACAAGTAACTATTCTCAACAATAAATTACGCCAGAAGGACTGGAACCCCGAGTGGCAAACCCAACTCATGATTAACACCAAAATATCCCGGTGCATGTCACCCGCCGAATATACAGAGAAAGCGACTTTGGCCCATGAACTACTTTGGTATAAGAAAGGAATAAGTGCCCGTGCCCGTGTCGTCGCCCGCTCACATGCTCCCGCCGTCCGCCGTGGCGACCGCTGGAGATTGCGCCGGCCTGCCTTATTTTGTCGGGACCGTGAGAGAAGATTGAAGAAAAGAGAGGAGATGCGGACCTATATTTTTTTTCTTCTCACTACATGTGGGCCATTTATTTTTTATTTTGTTAAGATGCACGGTTTTGTATATTTATAAGGTCGAAGGTTTTTGTATAATTTTTGACCTAGGTGAAGATTTCATTTCTGGTAGGGAAAAGTACACCGAAGGTCCCTCAACTTGTCATCGAGTTACAAAATCGTACCCCAACCGCAAAACCAGATATCAAAGGTCCCTCAACTAACAAAACCGTTCACTTGAGGTCCTCCGGTGGTTTTGACCCCGGTTTTGTCTGATGTGGCGGGTGAGTCAGCATGGGCCCCACCTGTCAGCATTGCCACATTAGCCTTCTCTCTCTTTTCCTCTCTTCTCTCCCATCTCATCTCTCTCTCTCCGTTCTCTGCGACTGTGAGTCTGCTGAGGCCGGCAATGAGAGGCGGGAGAGGAGGAGGGCGTCGGCGGCTGGCGACGCGGCGGCGGGGTGTTAACGACCAAATTTGATAATATCAGCATCGGAAAAGGAGATTAGATCAAGGTGGAGTCGAAGGCGGAGATTGATCCGAGAACAGAGCAAGAATCGGCTGAAGTCTAGATCGGCTACGATTAGGATCGGCTGGGTCTGAGTCGGACTAGGTGAGCTGATGCAGCCGATTCTGACAGTATAATTTGGTGTATGACATTGGGTTGAATTGAGGTGCTTCAACATGATTGTCGTACATGGATAGAGTCCTGAGAAGGCAATTGTATCTATTAATTAGGATGTTTTATGTAACTTCCTTAGAGATATGTGTGGGCAAAAGTTTGCCGCAAAGACTTATGGTATCTTAGAGTTTGTTAGAGATAGTGGTCGTGTCCGGTATGGACATATCTTGTAATTCTCGGGTATAAATAGACCTCGAGCCCTATGTAATTTTTAACACACACGTTCAATACAATTTCGGCGCATCGCCACCTTTTTGCTTTAGTTTTGTTTCGACGAGTTCTTGCTTTCTGGTTGAGCTGCATCAGTTTCGATCTTCAACAAGAGGTAAAACTTGTTATGACGACTTGTGTTCTCGAGATTAGTGCTTCCATCTTTATGACACTCTAATCTTGTCTATATAATTCGTCAAGTTATCATATATCTTACATAATCTTTGGCAATATCGTCATCTAACCTACAATTGACTAACATCTGTTAATAGAAGGCAGCCGATTAGGTTAAATAGCGACGTTGTTCTCGATTATATAAGATATCTACCATTTTATGAAACACTCAGCGGCTTGATTGTCTAGATATTGTTCTTTTTTTATACTTAATGCTGCATCAGTTGAGTTTGATCTATTAAGTCGTGCTTAGAATATCAATCTCTAGCCTGTCCTCTGGTTGCCAATTAGGGTAGTATTGGAGTTTCAACCGATCTTATCTGATTTAACCATATTCGATCTATATGCTTCAATGACATGTTAAATCCGCCCTTTATGTCAGGATCTTATTGCATTTAAGTATATTAAGCTTTTGTTTGGTATATTATATTTGTTTTGATATCTTTATATAAAGTAGTATCGGAGTATTAGCCGATACATGCTAGATCTATCTGATCGGCTATGCTATAAACATATATAATCCTGTTATTAATATATATTTCGATCTAAGTGATTTATACTGTCTCGGCTTGGTGACCGATCTATCCTAATCACTTGATTTAAGTATATATTAATATAAGAACTATATATCGTTAATATCTACAGCCGATCGAATAGATTTAGTTCCTTACTATCTATTTATAACCGCCGATCGATTCATATATGACATCGGCTCAAAGATAAATGATATGTCATCGGCACCTAGCCGATCGGCTATCATTTATAGATTTAACCACGAATTCTTTGTCTCTATTTCTTGTTGATTACAGGATCAAATCATCTGGCACGCTCATACATTCGAAGGCGAGCTTTGGACCTGCACTGGAGTTAAGCAGATCTCCCAGGCCTCGTCTTTTCTGTCAACACGGGCGTGGGGCGGTGCGTGGGCGGCCAGGGAAGGCGCGGCGCGCGGACGGCCGGGGGCGAAGCGAGCGACGCGGCAGCGGCGGCCCGGGCGCAGGCGGGCGACGCAACGGCGGGCCCGGACGAGGAGGAGGAGGGCGGCGACAGCGGTGCTGCCGGTACGAATCCCCCCACCACGCTGCCATGTCCTCCTCCTCGTCCGGGCCCGTCGCCGCGTCGTTCGCTCCGCCCCCGGCTGTCCGCGCGCCGCTCCTCCCTTGGCCGCCCGCGCCGCCTCGGCATCGTCGCCGCCCATGTCGTCGTCGGCCATGGAGGCCATGGACAAGCTCGTCCAGCTCGCCGAGTCCATGTGCCAGGCCGCCTCCCTCCTCCTGGGTGACAACGACCCCTCCGACGAGTCCAGCCCGCGCCGCCCCTCCACCTTCCTCAACGCCGTCGCGCTTGGCAACGTCGTAAGTGTATGCTTCCACTGGAGCCGTCGCCTCCTCACCGCCGCGGCAGCTCCCGCTCCTCCTCCGCTCGATCTGACTCGATCCGGTTTGGTTGCCAGCAAGTCGGTGGTGCCAGCAAGTTGGCGGTGCCCCGGCGGCCGTGGCGCGCGTCCTCCTCGCCATCAACGTCGTCTCCTCGCTCACAGCGGCGATCGCGTCTATGCAGGGTGCCAGCAAGTCGGCGGTGCCCCGGCGGCCGCACGCGCATCCTCCTCGCCGTCGACATCGTCTCCTCGCTCACAGTGGTGGTCGCGTCCGCCGTCCGCGTCGCCTCATGCTCCCACCGCGTTGGACGCCATCGACGAAGCCGTCGGCAAGCTCAAATCCGTCCTCGACAACGGCGAAGGCGACCTCGACGAGGCAGCGCTGCGGGCGGAGGAGCTGATGGCGCCGCTGGAGAGCCACTGCGGTGGGTGGTGGCGGCGGCTTCAGTGAGATTCCGTCCGGAGGTCATGGATGCGGCGCCACCCCGGCTCCCACCGCCGCGTCGCCTCGTGCTCCCGTCACCACGTCGCCGGCCGCCCCGGCGTCCTCCTCCCCACCCGCCCCGGTAGTTGCCCGAGAGGAGAAGTGAGAGAAGAGGGGAAGCCGCGTTGCCGGTCGCTGTCGCCTGTCGGAGAGAACGGAGAGAGAGATGAGGATGGGAAAGAACAGAGAAGAGAGGATGTAACACCCTGAAAATTCGACGACAAAAATCTAAACTCTAAAAATGCGGATTTTTAAAAACTTTTTAAATAAATTGCATCATGCCGATTTTATTCGATTATTTTATTGGAGTTTGGGTTCTGAGTTTATAAATCGCGAATAATAGATAATTGGTTAGGAATAAACCCTAAAAAGTAAATGGAAAAAGTAAATAATTAAAGTGCAACTTAAAATAAGATTTGGTGAGGATAGAAATGAGTAAAATATTATTACGACCATATTTATATCCATCAAATTTAAAAGCAATGGAATGAGAATTAACTCTAATTAAGTTCAAGTAAATTACAATAATAATATGTAAAACATGGAATAAATTAATCTAGAATGAATCCATGGATTGGAATGGCACAAATATTGAGTATACTTCATTTATGCAAAATTTGGGAATTAAAGAATCAAATTTAAATAATAAATGGGCCAAAATCGGGTTAATTAGAAAACGGCACTGTTCATTGCACCTAAAGTGTTCGACGAGGTCCCCTAGCCCTAGCCCCTCCTTTGCCGCGTTGCCGTCGCGCCCCGCGCGCCGCGCGCCGCTCCGCCTCCCCTCTGCCGACGCCGTCGCCATCACCATGCCTGGCCGCCCCTAACCCCGCGCCGCCGTCGCCGTCGTTTCCGTCGCGTCACCGCGCCGCCGTCCATCGCCTTGCGCCGCGCACCGCCGCTACCGCCGTGCCGTCGCGCGTCGCTCGCCGCCATCCCGTCGCGCCGTCCCATCGCGCCGCACGCCGTCCCGTCGCCACTACCGAGCCGTCGCCGTCGTCGCCTCGCGCCCCGTGCCGCGCCGCTCCCCCGAGCCCCGTGCCGCTTCTGCTACCGCGCCGCGCCGCCCGTTCCATCGCCGCGCGCCATTGCTGTTCGGCCGTCGCGTCGCCGCTGCCGCGCCATCGCCATCGCGTGTCGCATCACCTGCCGCGCCGTGCCCCCGAGCCCCGTGCCGCCGCTGCTGCCGCGCCGCTGCCGCTCCTCGCGCCCCGCGCCCTGCCGCGCCGCATCGTCGTCACATCACCGCGTCGAGCCCCGCGCCGCGCCACCCCGCCGACGCCATGAGGCCGCCGCCCCTCTCCCCTCTTCCCCATTATCTCTCTCCCCCCTCCCTTATATAAGCCCCCTACTCCCACTCTTCCCTTTCATCCTCACCTCCTCTCCTCTACCCACGCCACCACGCCGCCGCCTCCACGCCGCCGCGCCGCCGCCTCCACGCCACCGCGCCGTCGCATAGAGCCGCCGCGCCGCCGCCACGAAGCCGCCGCGCCGCGCCGCACCTTGCGCCGACGTCGCCGCCGCCGCCTCCACGCCGCCGCCTCCACGCCGCCGCGCCGTCGCATAGAGCCGCCGCGCCACCGCCACGAAGCCGCCGCGCCGCGCCGCACCTTGCGCCGACGTCGCCACCGTCGCTGTCGCCGCCGTCGCCGCCACCGCCGTCGGTAAGCCGCTGCCTCCACCACTTGCTCGGCCGCCGTCGCCGCCCCTGGTAGCAGAGAGCCGAGAGAGAGAGAGAGAGAGAGGGAGAAACCGAGGGAGAGAAAGAAAAAGGAAGGAGGAGAGAAACCGGGAGGGAGAGGGAGAAGGAAAAAGAAAAGAAAAGGGAGAGAGAGAAGGAAAAAGAAAAGAAAAGAGAGAGAGAAAGAAAAAAAAAGAAAAAGAAAGGAAGGAAAAAGAAAAAGAAGGGAAGAAAAAGAAAAGGGAAATAGATAGGAAATTAGAGGGAGATTAGGGAAGTTTAGAAAATTTAAAATAATTAGCATTTAGTTATAGACTAGTTATAGACGTAGAATTGCGAAATTTAATATAAATTATGGATTATTCTTGGTAATTTCTACAAGAAATCAATTCGCGGTAGTAGTTTAAATGTAATTAAGAACTAAACGATTAGATGAATTCTTATAGACTATTATAGATTATTTTGGGTAATCTCTATAAGTAATTGATTCACGGTAGAAATTCGGATTTAATCACTAGGAATTTTAGACGTATATTATATTTAGTCGTTTAGTCCTATACTAAAATTTAATTGTATAATATTATAAGATAATTTTAGGATTCTGTCCGATATTTAGCTTGCGATAGAAATTTCCAACCTATTATATGGATATAATGCTCGGGTAGATTAAATTAAAAACTTATGATAACAAAATATTTATACCCGCAAAATAGTTTAGGATATAAAAATCGAAATTGGGTTTGCCCTAGTTCGCGAAAAGTAAAGTTAATATAAAAGAATCGATTTACGCGTTCGACTTCCATTTGGATTTATTTGGATTTTTATTTGAATTCTAACCGAATTCAAATCAATTTTCGCACATAACTATAGAGCCCGAGGGAGTTGCGGATCCAAGTGAAGGCCAAGACCCGCAAGACTTTGAGCAAGGCAAGTCATCACTATTCCTTGAACATGTTGATCCCAATTGCAAAATTGTTTTGTTTACAAATAAAATTGCATGCAATGATGAACATCATACTTGTGATTATGCCATGCCTTGATTATTGTTTGCCCCTTGTTCCTTCGTAACCATATTTACGTATGAGTCCCTAGTCGATTATGACAATTGCTTAGAAATGCTATTCTAGAATCATGCATACTCATATTTATCAAATGATGCTTGGGCAATTACTTTTGGGAAGGTAATTGAGATACGGCATGTGGAGACATGAGCGCCACATTGCCATGATGTTGATGACATGATTTGTGAAAGGAGAAATAAAATTAAACAATTATTTTCGACTGGGGCGGACGGAGGATTTGGGTGGTATCTAGGAAAGGCTAGTACCGTCCCCGGTCAATTAAGGACCGAGCCATGAAGTTAAGCATGAAACGACCCCCATACAACCGTACTTCTCGAATGGGTATAGACCTAGCGGATTAGATAGCCGAGCGGAGCAGTATCCCTGCATAGATGGTTCACCCCTGAGTGAGGCAGGTGCGCTACGATGGGACAGCCGTTGAGGTAGGGCTGAGAGGCGTGCCCTACATCGGTGTCGCCATTGGTAGGACTGCCATGAGTGTGTGAGAGAGAGAACTTAACTTGAACCATAATTTAATATGTGTAAGACTTCTCTTTCCCGGGAGCGCCAGAACTCCTCACACTGCTAGAAACATGGACGCCTAGAGTGCATGAGGATTTAAGTTCATGGAGCGGATACTGCCAATGCGAGGTTATCGAAAAGCTTTGCCGTGACGCGTCTCATGTGTTGGGACGAAGCTCATATGTTGGGCAGTCACGGAGTGCGGGTAAAGTGTACATCCACTGCAGTGTGAGTAAACCAAATCTATTCGAATAGCCGTGCTCGCGGTTATTGAGCACCAGGACATGTATTACACTTGGCTAGTCTCTAAATTCTTAACTTGTGTGGGATGGGTTGTTGCATGACGAATTTTTATGCTGTTGGAGCCACTTCCTGAGAAGGGGGAAGGTGGGCGTCCTCAGAAAACCATAACGACTCAATGGCGGGAAGCTATCCTTGGGATCACAATGGATGGTGGACAGAACCGTCGTTGTTTAAATACAAACACTGGTACTAAAATTTGATCAGTCAATGCTAGGTCTTAGGTTTGTGAAAAGAATTACAAAACTGGCTTAGCGCAAAAGAGCCATAGCCATCCTTTGAAATACCCCTTTCATATGCATTGTTGCTGTGGTGACTTGCTGAGTACGGTTGGTACTCACCCTTGCAAATATAAAATTAATCAGAAGCGGGAGATGAAGCTTCGGAGGATCCCTATGCCTACTACCAGGAGGGTCTTAGTACGGTCGTTGCCTGTGGCAATGGCATGCCGCTGCCTGAATTCCGCTGCCTTATCTATTTCTGTTGGATGTATTCCGGACCGCTCGGTCCGATGATTTAAGACAATGCCTGCGGGCTTATGATGTAATAATTAGCACTAGACTCTCGTGTATGTGCTTTTGGTATTTCAGCTATGAACTTGTGTACCAGACTACTTGATCCAGGGAAATGGTACTGTTTACATGAATGATTCCTGTTATAAAAACGGGGGTCCACAGAGGAAAAGAGAGAAGACTGATGTGGCAATGCTGACAGGTGGGGTCCACGTGAGGCCCACGCTGACTCACCCGCCACGTCAGACAAAACCGGGGTCAAAACCACCAGAGGACCTCAAGCGAACGGTTTTGTTAGTTGAGGGACCTCCGGTATCCGGTTTTGTGGTTGGGAGATGATTTTGTAACTCGATGACAAGTTGAGGGACCTTCGCTGTACTTTTATCTTTCTGGTACTGTGGTTTATAGGGATGTTATACGAACTTGACGTAAAGTTGAGGAACGTCTGGTCAACTTATTCATCGGCCCATTTAGGCCCATTGCAGAGATTCGGCGGCAGACTGATGTCCTTACTGATAATAGATCGGCCCATTAAAGGGCCACCAGTTGTTCTCCCAGATGAAAAACTAGCTGTTATACTAAGGCCTCCCCGTGACATTTCAGCCTTTTAATGCCTGAGCTTATATCGTAAGGTTAGAGTTAGCTTTGTCCACTCAATCACCTAGATGGTTTTTTACCTATGTGCGTACCACAGCTTAAGAGTTAACACACACAGAATATGAGAAGTTGGTAAAAACCTTTTAACTGCCCAAAAAACGGCAACAGGTTTTTTGGCTACCAATTAACAGAGCACGAGGCTACCAATTCTAACTACCGTTAGGCTTATATACAGCTACCCTATAATCAACGGACTACTATGGTACATTACATAAGCACAAGGCTAGAATGTAGGACTACACGGTAAGTTTCGCCAACAGATAATACACAGAAAGACAAGAAGAGAACACAGAGTCTCCCGCTTTTAATGGCCACCATCGGGGAGACCAACTCCATCGTCTCCCCCTTTTCCTCCACAAGACCTTGCAACAGACTCGAACAGCTTCTCGATCTCAGGTGCACAGCGAGTAAATGATCGAGCCCAAAAACTGTAGCGTGGATTCTGAAGGAAATGAAGCCTGTATTAATCCTTTTTCATCCAAAATTAAGCTGAATGAAAACTGAAAACTGTCACAATACCATACCTTTATAAGCTCAATGAAAGTAATTAGTAGCCCCCACGGGTGAGGGCGGTTAACTATTAGCCGTTCCAGAAGTACCCTAGTTATTTGCTCCTGGACTATTTCCTGCGATTTCAGATTTAGTTCCCATCAGAAAGGGTGTATATTTGCATACAAACAAAAAAAGGAGACCACATAGTAAGTAATCATCCGATACCTGGTTTGCCTCAGA